GAGTTAAGGCGGATTTGGCGATCAAGCGAGGATCCCGTCGGTTAGAATAGGAATCCTTATCCGCCATATATGGCAATTGTAATGGCTAGGATTAGTTTCAGATCTGTAACCTGCGCCGGGACTATATAAGGCGGGCGGGGATCCTCTAAAATCTCTCATTAACATACAAAGACAATACAATCGACGCAGGACGTAGGTATTACGCCTTCTTGGCGGCCGAACCTGGATAAAACCTCGTGTCTGTCTTGCGTCACCGTCTTGTTTGTGGCTTGCGCATCTGTCTGCCGATAATCTACTACCTTGGGCATACCCCTAGATAGACTGTCGACCATATTTTGTCGACATAGACAATGATCACAAGGCCAGAATGAACAAGAATATATCTATCACTTCTCAGGCAGTAAACACAACCTCAGACAACACAATTATGTGTTTATTGACATCGTAGGCAATGATCATAAGCAAGTGTGAGTGGAAAACAAAATGAAATCATGAGAGTACAGAAAGGAGGAAATCATCACTCTCACTGGTACCTCCAAACTTAGAATAGATAAGAAGAGACGCCAAAAAAAGGAACAACCAATTGACCATCACCCCAACTATCATGGAACAGGTACAAAGAGATGATAAAAATAGAATTTAGAGCTCATGATCATTGCCTCATACGTCATGTATAAAAGAAAGGAAGAGCAATCATTGCATCAAATACTGAACATAATTTATGGTGTAATCATCACAGCAGCAGCTCATTCCCTCAAAGTAAAATGTCACATGAAGAGAAAAGTGTATTCATCATTGCAAGTGACCAAAATGCAAAGAGTAAACCAGAAACCACCAGGAACGCAGTATAGATAGTCTCATTTGTATCATACACTGAGACCTGAAACAAATACCATCGACAGCATCACATGCTCAAATCCATGGCACAACAGTTGCCTGCTCTCAATACCCGCCGAACTGAGTAGGCCACTCCCTACACAACGCAAAACAGTTTGTATTAACATATATCGTTTGTTGAGAACAACAATAGATCTATGGTGAAACTGACCTTGCCTTGTTTGTTTGCCTCCTTTCACCAAGATCCCCCCTCCAAATGTCACATGCAGTAAAAAATAATGCAAGGGAGCAACATCACCGCACTGAGGTAAGGAGAGAGAGAAGGGTAGGTGGAGCGAACCAGCGAGCCTATTACACGAGGAACAGCGGAGCCGTGTGAGGCACCAGCAACAGCCTGCACGGAGCGGGGGTGGGGAGGAGTTGTGGCCGACGTCGGTGGCCATGCTGCGCCGCCGACGCCGTGCTGTGCGGAGGTCCCTTGCCGGGGGCCACCGACCGGCGGGCATGTTTCAAGGCACCAGGCCGCACAGGGGGGGAAGCGATCTCCACACCCGGTCGCAGCGTGGGGATCCACCGGCGCCCGCTGCCGGGTGGCACGCCGCCATGTCGGGAGCGAAGGCGAGAGAGAGAGATGCGCGCGCCGCGCGGGAGAGGACAGCGGCTGCGCCCAGCGCTGAGGCCTGGCCGCTCCGGTACGCCAGAGGATGGCCGCCGCACCGGGCCGGCCGGTGCGCCGCCAGATCTGGATGGAGGGAGGGAGGGAGAGAAAGAGAGAGGGGGGGAAGGGAGAGGAAGGGGCAAGAAGACGGCGGCCTCGGTAGATATTTTTAGCCGCATGTGTATGGAGGTAACGCACAGGAGGTAACAAGAATCTGGCCGTGGAACCTGCAATCAAACGGAAAAAAAATTTGCTACCGTGGACAGGCTGTTGGCGGTCAAACCAAACTTTTTTGATAAGAGTAGATATGTTTAACTTATTCTATTGAGAAGCAATTGTTTCCCGACACCTCAAATCGCAAACTTATTATTCTCACCAATGGCTATAGATGTTCATTTTTTCTGTAATGCTGTTTTCTCCTCGGAATATATTTTCATTTTACAATCTGCCGACCGCATCACTCCCTGTACCAGACTCAAACCATCACCCCACACCGCCACCAGAGGGCACAACTACTAGAAGCTAGTGCCTATCACAGTTACTGTATGAATTCCACTGTCACAACAGTGTAGCACGTTCTTGAACCTTGATCTTGTCAAAAGCGAGAAATGCCAAAGATTTCAACTATTGACACATGCTCATTTAAATCAGTCAGATCGCCTCTAGGGACGAACCAAGGCATCAACTTGACTGAGTCGCAAAGCCCGGCATCAATGTTGCGTACAACCTTCTGACAATAAACTGAGCACAAGTGTGTGGACCCATAATTTTGGTGATCTTAAACTTTCTGTAGCCTTCTATTTTTAAGTACAAACCCTTCAATTGCAATCAGCATTCTCACACACTACTATGTGACGGCACTCCACGTAAGAGTGCCTCACCTTGAATGGTCTTTTACGTCGCACGGAATATTCTGTAACCACCTTCTCAAGGTGGGCAACTTCTTGAAAACTATGCCCTTCTGAATTTCCACACTGTCACCAGCTTTAGGAGCCTCTAGCAGCTCGTCGTCTCTTCCTTCTGCATAACTATGTTGAGAATGACTGGGGTCGCTGAATTTATGAACTAGTGCATCACGATCAGGACACAAACGTCTGATCAGCTCCATTTCTTGTTCGCTCAAAGCTGCAACTGGACGGTCATCATTAGAATAAATGGCCCTTGCTGTGCCATAATGCTCCTTATCATCATCAATATCAACATCCACACTGTTAGAGGCTATAAACCCTGGGTCCATGTTGGTTGATGGAGGAACAGGAGGACAACCATCAATATTGTCTCCTGCATTTGATACAAAAATATTGAAATAATTGAGACAAATGAATGGAATGAAGGAAGAATAAGGAAAACCAAAGTGTTACTACGTCACTTAGTAGGATGATTCTGGGTCAAAGGGATCTCCTGAGGGGCAGCAACAACATCATCAATCCGACATTCTGCACAAACATCAGGACATACTCCAACCTCATTCGGGGCAGATTGAGCATCAAGCACCACAGCCACATCTTCTACATCCACCTCACGGTTGGGTAACGGAGGCTCAGAGGTTGCCGGATTCTCCGGTTTTGGCGAGAACACACGAGATGGTGAATACCCATTAGGGGGTGAATACCCATGAGGGGTGTGATTATTGGACAACTTTCGCACAACCAAATCCAAACATTGAAACTCATTCTTCATCACAGTGTTGACATATTTGTCCCATTGAGACTCTGATGCAATTGGGACCAACCGTCTAAAAAATACGGGCCGATTTACCATAGTGAAGTACCCCTCAACTGAGATGGCATCATCATTTAAATTGCATTGAAGCTTATCACGAGCCCTACCAAACAACTCACAGAACAACCACCGATCATCGAATATCACATGCACCCTTTGCATTCCAACAAAACTGATATTCCCAAACTCATCTTCCTCAACACTTCCTTCATGATACAGGGTGACTACGTTATCCATCTAGTTGGTATGCATAACATCAAAGTAAATACAGATTTAACTAATAAGGATATAACTAAATTACATACATAATTAAGTATCCCATTATCTATCTAAATAAATAAGTATCTAAACTACCTAGCTATCTATGTAACTATATAAATAATTTTACTAACTACAAGTACTACCTATATATAACTTAATTACCTAACTATCTAACTTACAAATAAACTAAATAACTAAATTAACTACCTACAAAAGTACATAAATAACTAACAATAAAACAATCTATCTAAATTAGCTAAAGATATAAGTTCTACATAACTAAATTGTCTCACTAAATACCCAAATTAACTAACTAAATTACATTACTATATAATTAAATTAGCTAACTAAACTATCTAAACTAACTAAATTGTAAAACAAAATTACAGAAAAAAGAAAATCCTTACCTAGCTGATGGTCGGCCGAGGCCTCACAGGGGAGGACAGTGGGGGGTGGCGGCACCGCTGTGCAAGGTCACGGGCCCGGGGAGAGGCGGGGGCGCCTCGCCGCCGGTCTGTGTGAAGGAGGAGGATGGGGCGACGAGGGCTGCCGAGGAACTGAGACGGGGCGGAGCTGAGGCGCTGACACTGCTACTGGTGGGAGCGGACCGTCGAGGTGGTGGCGCTGGTGGTCAGACTGCCCTTCACATGTGGCGTGAACGCCGAGAGAGAGAGAGAGAGATAGCGCCCGGCGTGCTTGGAGTCGAGAGGAGGAAGAGGAAGCGGGCCGGAGGTGTAGATATAAGACCTCGGCGCCACAGATCTCGGCGCCGAACTACCTGCCACGTCAGCAACATGTGGATGACCCGATGTTCCCGCGCAGGCATCTCGGCGCCAAGACCTACGGCGCCGAGACATGTTACCTCAGCGCCATAGGACACGGCGCCGACCCTAAGGTCTAAAGTTCAGTTTACGTCGTTCAGGGAGCCAAACGTAATTTTTTTTTTGAAAAAATGACTAAATTGAAAAAAAAATTAGAACCTGCCGTAGATCTTCGGTTCCTACCTTGCTTGGCGCGCCTCGCCCATTTCTCTCTTTCCCTTGCCTTCCCTCAATCTCGCCGTGCTAGTTTGAGCTCAACTTGGACGTAGAGCTCGGTGGTGTCGGAGCAGGATGGAAAGCTGGGTGGGCGGCGGTGCTATATCCGGAACACGGGGAGCTGCGCGTGGGATGGACGTGAGGAGACAGATGCGACGCGGGCGGGGCGCGGGAGGTGCGTCTCTCCGGACGCTAGCCTTTCCATTTTCTTTTCTCAAAGAAAGGGGGGAAATGAGAAAAAACAATTTCTCGTTTATAAAATGAAAAACACGTCTCTCGTGCTCCTCGCGTGATCGCATCATCTACGCTGCGCTGGCGCTGTGCACTCCACAAGCGGCCGGGAGCTCCCCCGGTTCCACCACCTCATCCCTCTGCAGCCGCCGCTCTCTCCTGTCGCCTCGCCCGCAGTCCGCGAGCGCGCGCGCATCGCCACCCGTCTGATCGCGCCCGGGCAGCCGCGATCCCCTCCCCCATGTTCCGCGGCCATGCCCCTCTCCTCCACCTCCTCGCCGGCGACGGAGGCGGCCGCCGCCGCCGCAGTCCGCACCGCTTCGCCGCCTCTCCGCGCCGCCACCCACGTGAGCATTCGTTTATCTTCACTGTTTCTTATCAATTTTCATGATGTGTCATGGTATTTGGTTGCTGAGCTCAGTGGCGATTGTGTTCTTGGATGCCTTCCAAATTGCGGTCTCGTGTAGTACTTGTTTAGTTATGTTTAACTGAAGATAAAAGATGAATTTCGGATTCCTAACTCGTACTCTTTTGGTATCTTTATCTTTGCCGGAGTCGATTTTATGGTGGTAGGTTCGTGTGCATTTCAGATTAATCAAATCCATTACCAAAATTCGTCGAGTAAAGATAGTTGCGGTCCTTGTGGATTTTTCTGTAGTCCGTTTGAACTCTTCTACTTAAAGGGCAATTCATGTGCATTATCCTGATAGTCCTCCCATGCGTTGTTTCCTGCAAACTCTCAGGTTTTGTTCAGGCAGAAGCTGGGCTTTCTGGCGGCATTCCAGGCTCAACGTGCGAAATGCTCACCTCATTTGATCAGATCTATTGTAAAAAGTTCTAGATTAGATATCAATGACGGTGACAATGGAACAACTGAGCCCGCGAGAGAACTATTGGAGCGTCTGTTCGCCAAGACAAAGAGTCTAGATCCAAGCGCTTCTCAGGATGGGGAGCTGAGCATGAGCATTGAGGTCCTGAAGACTGAATTTGAGGCTGCCATATCAATCCTAAAGAAGAAAGAAAGGGATCTTCATGATGCAGAGAAGAAAGTCTCTGTGGATAGGTCAAGGTTGAACCAGACGAAGCAGGACCTCGATCAGAGGGAGGAAGACATCATCAAAGCATATTCGAGGCAACATGAAATGGAGAAAGCACTGATGAAGGCGAGTAGGGATTTGACTCTACAAGTTCGACAGATCAATAATCTTAAGGTTCTGGTCGAGGAACAAGACAAAAAAATTGTTAGTTCACAAGATGCACTTTCTAAGAAGGTTATTGAAATGGATAAGCTTAAACAAGAGATGCTGAAGAAGAATGATGAAGCAACCTTGATGCGTTCAGAGATCGAGTCCAAGGAACAAGAGCTTCTTGTAGCTAATCAGGCCATTGCACGTCAAGAAGCAACAATTAGGGAGCTTCAAAGTGAAATTAAACGAAAGGAAACTGAGATTGAGAGATTAAATGAATTGACCAAAGCTAATGAAGAGAAACTGAAAGTTGCAGAACAGGAACTTGAGAAGCAGAATTCAGGATGGATTGCAGCACAGCAAGAGTTAAAGGAACTGGCATTAAATGGCATCCAAGGATAAGGATAATATCAAGAATACAATCAGTGACTTCAAACGGGTGAGGTCTTTGCTAGATGCTGTGCGTTCTGAACTAATAGCTTCGAAAGAGGCTCTCACCTTTCGCAAGCAAACAAGTCGAAGATCAAGCAGCACAGTTGAGTAACCAAGTGCAGGAACTCACAGACCAAAAGGCATTGATTATTTCTTATACCCGGAATTTGGAAGCTGCTCAGCTGGAGATTCAAGGAAAGACAAATGAGCTCACTGCTGTACAATCTCGCTGTAGTGAACTTGAATCTCAGTTACTCGAGGAAACGAAGAAGGTTGAGTCCCTAGAAGCTATGTTAACCAAAGAAAGGGAGAGCTTGGAATGGAAAACTAAGGAAGTAGACTTGCTTCAAGAGGAGCTAGTTCAGAAGGAGAAGGATTACTTCAATTCACAAAAGCTTGTTGAAACAAAAGAGACTGAGTTGTTAGAGGCCAGACATGAAGTCGAAGATATGAAATTGAAGGTGGATTCCATACAATTTGCTGTTCAAGAGAAGGATTTGGAGCTTCTGGAGACACAAAGAAAACTTGATGAAGTTAACAGTGAAGTTATTGAACTTCAGCAGCTGATAAATAGCAAGGAGGATCAACTGGTTCAAGTTAGAACTGAATTACAGGATAAAGAGCAATGCATACAATTAATGCAAGATGAATTGGATAAGATGAGATTAGGACGCTCACAAGCTGAATATGTGGTGCAAAAGATAGTTGAGCTTACTGGCAATCTTATAGGTTCTGTCGAAGGTGAAGAAGTTGACATTTATAGCTTGCTGGATGATGAAATTTTAAGCACAAGTACGGCCCTTGACTCCAATTTGCATAAACATAGCCAATTGAAGGCTGACATAGACATGTTAAAAGAATCCTTACGACAAAAGGACATGGATCTGAGTGCTGCTTATAAAGCGCTTGACGCCAAAGATCGAGAGTTGAAGGCAGTAGTTGGAAGGTTAGATGTAAGGGACAAGGAACTAGACAAGTTGGAAGAGTTATCCATAGACCCCTATGACATCAGGAGACTGTCTAGCGTTGCTGATGAGGCAACAAAAGACAACATTGTGGGAGAAGTGGAGCTCCAAAAGCATGAATTGGAATCTGTGGAGGCTGAGGCACTAGCTGCTAGCACTTTGTTGAAGAAGCTTGCAAATGTGACTAAGGAATTCTTGAGAAGTGGTAGAACTGATTCTGGTACCAATTTGGTAGTATCTCAAAATTCAAACATTAGTGAAGGTGCTTCTAAAATGGAACCACAAAGGAAAATTAATGTGATTCTTGAAGCTAAAAAGGAGATTGTTGGGCTATTTTCTTTGACAGAAGAGCTCGTTGCTGGTGCTCAAATGAAGGATGCTGTGGAACCATAGCATCATAACTGAACATATGTCTGCATCATGAATATTATGCATGTCAATTGGAATGATGCAGCTGAAATTGTTACCTTCCTTTTTCCTTTTGAGGCTCAGATTTCTTTATGTTCTTTTGGTTCATGGATGGGGCATCACCAAAAGGAAAAAAAAAAGATTATTCAGCTTTGGTTAAAAGGATGATGGTTGTGTTGCTAGATATAAATATTCTTTTTTTTTTTCTTTTTGAGTGCTTGAAGAAGTGTGTCATCAGCTGGCTATTGTATTATGGATCATTACTGTCAGCAGCAAAGAAAGGGTACAGAGGTTAAAAATGTCTTCTACCCTGGTCTTGTTATGTTGGTGTGGATTGTTTTTAATCTCATGTATGTTTCTCAATTGTAGCACGCTTGCTGATTTTTTTTCTCTCATATGTTTTCTCAATTATTGCACACTTGTCAAAGTGGTATTGGAGTGCAGAGAGCATGTTCCGCAAATGTCAAACCCTGGAGACGGATCGAAGTGGTGTAAGCTCAAAATCTTTGCCCTTAAAGTCAACATGCCTATCCTATCCTGGCTCTGGTTTGAACGACTCAGCATCGTCCCAATATAGATCCCTGTGGATCACCCAAACATTCACCAGTACAGTACCGCCTATGTTATATCACACACGATCACTGTTACGAAAACCATTTTAGGGGGGTCATATTTCCCTATATCAAATTCTGCCAAAACCCTGAAACTAGTTTTAGATCACCTGCTGCTGCTGGCTTTGTGAACTTAAATCATTTTTCCAGACGATTGTAGTGCTGAACTTGGCTTCTTCTAAATCAATCAGCCGCAGACTTTTAGAATTGTCCTGTTCGTTTGGCTGATAAGTCATGGCTGAAAGTATTGTTGGCTGATTTATTGTGAGAGAAAAATATTGTTCGTTGGCTGAAAAAGTACGGCTTATAAGCCAAACGAACAGGGCGAGGTTGATGCTCGTCAATTAGAATTATAGATTCATAAATGAAGTTTGACACCTGAAGAGGACATTTTGTGAAGAGTTTTCAGAATGCACGCTATCGACTCCATGGTCCATGCACACACCAGAACTTGTCGGGTACTCCACTCATTTCTTTCATCACCTAGGCCACTTCTTCTCTTACAACCATTTCAGCTTATTGCCAGCCAAGAGTTGACGTTTGGGTGCTTCATGTGGGCTCAACCAAGCTGTTTGTTCTTGCTGTTGAGCAGGCATAGTGTCAGCCTAGAATTTGTCGTCTGTCCTTGCTTATGTTCTCTACGGAACTTGGACTTCAGTGTTCACGCATTGTTTTCTTTTGGTGATTTCGGATTCTTTTTCAGTTCTGTGCTGTGCTTGAAGTTGAGTAATTTTGGAAGTTCGTTTTTCACCTTTTTCTGAGTTGCTTGGGTAGTGCAGTGAATTCACTGCAGTAGCAATTTTCCGCAAGGTGACTGATCCATTTCTCGGATTCCATTCTGACTGCTGTGCTAAGTATTGTCCTTGTGCTTTTTATTCTCTGTTCACAAAATGCAGTGATAGTTGAAGTATCGATCATGAGTGTGTTGCTTGGGGTACTGCAATGAGAGTTCGCCCATTATTCCTGTACAAGTTCCAATTAAAGCAAGTCGAGCAATTTGGTCATTGATTTAGTAGTAAATAGTAGCATACTTCTTACTGTATATAGTTCACATGCTTTGACTTATTTAATTTTTAACACTTGTTTTTTTAATCGCCGTCTGCTGCAGGGTCGTCGGAATTCTACTCAGTTGACATCTCAGGCTTTATCGCTGACAGTTGACATCTCAGTTGCTGAAGACATTTCAACGATAGTACGATCGATAAGGCTAGTGCTAAAGCACTTGTATCTTATTTTTTCTGCGCTTTTATTTTTCTTGGCTTCCAAGCCTAGTGTTAGGAATATGCTCAACATTCACTTTAGTGGTTAGAATATACTGTAGCAAGTGAGAGTCCTATTTATCTATAAAGAGTAAGGGAGTGTCATTGTAAAAAACAAACCATTGTATTTTCTTCAATACAAGCGGCCAAGGGCCAAGCTACCCTCTGATAGTTTTCAAATCTGAATCTGAGATCTATTTGGGCTACGCAGAGGGGGCTAAGGCCTACCACGTGCTCGACCGCGCAACACTGCGCGTGCGCGTGGTGCGCGACGTCGTGTTCGATGAAGGATGCGGCTGGGCATGGAACAAGACAGTGGATGACAGGTCGGCGGCCGCGCTCCATGACTTCACCATCGAGTACGTGTGGGTGGGCGGTGATGAGGGAGCACAAGGTGCATCCTCGTCGACGTCTGCGTCTTCATCACCAGCACCGACCTCTTCATTAGCTCCGTCGCGTTCTCCATCACCAAATCCGGGGGAGCTCAGCAGCCCATCGGCGGTGGTCGACAGTCCATCGGCAGCAGCTCTGACCTCTCTAGCACCGTAGCCGACCTCCTCGGCATCTTCTACCTCACTCGCTGCGACACCAGCGCACGCATGGCAGCCAGGGGTCGAGTACGCGACGCCACTGGAGGATGATGAAGACCGCCTGGACTCATACTACGACGATGAGCCCCTCCGGTACCACATGGTGGCAAACATCCTCGGAGAGCAGTCTCCACCGGACTAGCCCGAGAGGTTCTTCTCTCAGCTACATCTGACACACGTCGGTGAGCCGACCACTTATGCTGAGGCGCAGGGTGATCCGGCATGGCGGGCGGCGATGGAGCAGGAGCTCAAGTACATCGAGCAGAACCGCACCTGGGAGCTGGTGCCACTGCTTGACGGCCACCGCCCCATCACCCTAAAGCGGGTATTCAAGCTCAATAAGGACGAGCTGGGCGCGGTGATCAAGCACAAGGCGCGGTTGGTAGCCTGCAGTTTCGTCTAGAGGGAGGGGATTGACTACGACGACGCTTTCGCCCCCGTGACGCGCATGGAGTCGGTCTGTGTCCTCCTCACGCTGGCGGCTCAAGAGGGGTTGCAAGTCCACCACATGGACGTCAAGTTCGCTTTCCTCAACGACGACCTCAAGGAGGAGGTGTACGTGCGCCAGCCACCTAGCTACGCCATCGCCGGAGAAGTAGGGAAGGTGTACCACCTGCGCAAGGCACTCTATGGCCTGTGCCAGGTACCGCGCACCTGGAACACGAAGCTCGATGCCACACTCAAGAAGATGGGCTTCAAGCAGAGCGCACGTGAGGCGGCGGTGTACCGGTGGGGCAGCGGACGCAATGTTCTACTGGTCGACGTCTATGTCGACGACCTCATCATCACCGGTGCTAAAGAGCAGAAGGTGGAGGTGTTCAAGGCACAGATGAAGAAGGCGTTTGACATGAGTGACATCGGCCTCCTTTTTTTCTACCTCGGCGTTGAAGTGCGCCAAGACACCAGCGGGATGGCCCTCTGCCAAACCCACTACACCAAGCGCATCCTCGAGCTCGGCGGCATGACAGGCTGCAATCCCGCCCACACCCCGATGGAGGAGAAGCTCAAGCTGAGTTGGAAAAGCGCAGCGGAGGAGGTCGATCCAACCCATTACCGGCGGCTGATCGGGAGCTTGCGCTACCTGGTCCATACCCGGCCAAACATCATGTTTGCCGTCGGGTACATGAGTCGGTTCATGGAGCGGCCAACGATGGAGCATCTGCAGGCCATCAAGCGAATCCTACGCTACGTGGCGGGCACCCTTAACTATGGACTCCACTACGAAAGGGCCCCCGACACGGCGTGATTCGTCGGCTACTGCAACAGCAACCTCGCTAGCGATGTGGATACCAGCAAGAGCACAACCGAGACGATGTTCTTCCTCGGTGATTGCTTAGTCAGCTGGCAGTCCCTCAAGCAGAAGGTGGTGGCCCTCTCGAGCTGTAAAGCGGAGTACATCGCCACCACCACTGCAGCAACTCAGGCACTATGGCCGTCAAGGATGCTGGCAGAGCTCCTTGGCAGGAAGGTGGACAATAAGTCTGCTCTAGCTCTAGCCAAGAACCCTGTCTTCCATGAGAGAAGCAATCACATTTGCATCAAGTACCACTTCATCAGAGATTGCTTGGAGGACGGGAGCATCAAGGCCAGCCACATTGCCACTACTTATCGCTGGCTGACATTCTCACCAAGTCGCTGGGGAAGTCCAAATTTCAGGAGATGAGGAAGATGATTGGGTTACAGCAGATCACCTCCAGTGCTCGGCACAAGGCTTAGTAGGAGAATTGATAGATAAGCCTAGTGTTAAAGCTCTTGTATCTTACTTTTCCTGCACTTTTACTTTCCTTGGCTTCCAAGCCTAGTGTTAGGAATATGCTCAGCATCCACTTTAGTGGTTAAAATATGCTGTAACAAGTGGGAGTCCTCTTTGCCTATAAAAGGTAAGGGAGTGTCATTGTAAAAAACAAGCCATTGCATTTCCTTCAATCCAAATGGCCAAGGGCCAAGCTACACTCTGGTAGTTCTCAAATATGAATCTGAGATCTATTTGGACCAACAATCAGAGGTTGTAGCAATGTATGATTAGAGGCACTTGAATTCAAAAGTGTTTCTGATTCAGGTTCAGCTACTTTATGTACCAAGTTCGGCTATTACACTATGTACAATTCCTTTATTACTTCAATGTCTTAATAATTCTGCTAAGCCTATATAGCAATAAGTGAGATCTAACTAACTAATTGTTAGTATATGGTAGTAGTACTATGTTCTTCTTTTCTGTGTTGATTTATGACATCTTTATTTGCCTCGGAAAAAACTACCTTGTTTACTATACTGTAGTCCATAAACAATTTCTCTGAAAATAGTTTTTTGGGTATTTTTTGGGTATTTACGGTTCAAATTTGTATCTATAGTTAACTACATAGTTTCTTTTGCTAGGAATGTAAGTATGAAACCGCCCAAGGAGAGTCATGAATTGCATACAAGCCTGTTCTCAGTTACAGACTTTAAGGCCTCATAGACAGCCTAAATGTCTTAAGATAAGAAAACTGGAGTCACTAAAATAATTGCCTCCAGTTAGGAATAAC